GTATTATCTATGCTAAGGTGTCAAAGGAGAATTTAGCTAGCCTTCAGGCTATTCATAAAGTTAGTCGTCGTGATTGGTCGTCGTGACAATTTTTGATGAAAGCTCAGACCTGAATTTGAAATTGCTCGGGCTGGGTTGCTAAATAGAAATATGGTTCCTTGTTTGGATGTATGTTTTGGAGAATTACTGTGCGAAGAACAAAGATTTGCGACACAAGCTACTATCGGTGCAGTTGGTGGATCATTTGAAATCGTTAATGTTGCCTATGCTGCTTAGACCCGAGGAAAGGGAACAAAACAGTGTTACAGCTGCAAAGAATTCGGTCATATTGCCCGCCATTGTAGTAAGAAATTCTGTAAATATTGCAAGCAAAACGAATATATTATTGAGTGTCATACACAGACTCAAAACCGCAAACCACAAACCTTTCATGTTACGATATCCAACTCTCACAGTCTTGGTTTAACATCTGCAATTGCTGACAATAATCAATCTGTTCTCACACCAGATATGGTTCAACAGATGATTCTCTGTCTTTTCTGCTCTTGGTCTTCAAAGGAAATGTAAGGTTGTTACTTCACTTCATTCTCCTTGGTCTGTTGATCCCGACATCATAAATCATATGACTGACACATCTGATTTATTGCATAATCAACGCCCGTATACTGGTACTCAATATATTTAGGTTGCTGATGGAAATAATATTCCAATTGCGACAATTGGTGATATTAACTCCTATTTCTAACATTTCTTGGTTTCTTCTAAATTATTTACTAGCTTACTTTCTGTTGGTCAAATGGTGGATAATAACTTTGATTTACACTTTTCTCGGGATGGTTGTATTGTGCAGAATCAGATGTCGGGGAAGGTGATAGCGAATGGGTCTAAAGTAGGCATGTTATTTCCATTACAAATTATCGTTCCTCAGACTTTGTCATTAGCTTCTTGTGTTGTTGAAAATAAGGTCGGCTTCTGGCATAGACGATGAGGTCATTCAAATAATATTGCTTTGAATCATTTCTCAAAGTGGTGTTTTTGGTTCAACAGATAAAAGTTTATTAGTTGGCTATTCTTCTTATAAACTAGGCAAAAGTAAGATGTTGCCTTTTTCTATTTTGGGTAGTCGCATCGATAAATATTTTGGCATTATTCATAATGATATTTGGGGAATTACATTAGTTATTTTACATGATCAGTATAAATATTTTGTGGCATTTATTGACAATTACAGTCGATTCACATGGATCTATTTTTTGCATTTCAAAGCAGAAGTGTTTACCATGTTTCAAACCTTTGTGACATATTGAAACTCAGTTCTACACTTGTATTAAAATCTTACGGTCCGACAAAGATGGTGAATATATGTCTCATAAGTTTCAAACATTTTCCATAACAAGGGTATTGTTTCATAACATTCATGTTCTTATACACCTCAGTAGAATGGAGTTGTCGAACGAAAAAAACCGACATCTATTGGATATGATGCGCACATTGTTGTTAGAATTTTTTGTTCCAGCTAAGTTTTCGACTGAAGCTTTATCTACTACAGTTTATCTGATTAAGTGTTTGTCATCTCAAAAATTGAAGTTTGATTTTCTTCACTATCGAATTTTTGTAAACATTCTAATTATCATATGCTACATACTTTCAGATGTGTTTATTTTGTTCATTTATCTGCTCATAAACATCATAAGTTGTCAGCTCAGTCTGTTTGATGTGCCTTTACGAGTTACAATACTATTCATAAAGGTTTTGTGTGTTATGATTCAATTAATAATCGATGACATATCTCGATGACATATCTCTCGAGATGTGACTCGAGATGTGATTTTCTTTGAATCTGAATTCTATTTTCAGCATCATTTTTCGACATCTGATACTGTTGTACTTCCTTACTTTAATAACTCTTCTTGTGATAAACGGTTCAAGCTTGGTCTTGTTTATACAAGACGCCTGCCCTCTTCATCTCCTGTCCTTTCCTACTCTGCTCCTGAAAATACTCCAATGATTCTTCGATGATCAACTCGGCACATTCATCATCCACTCCAATGATTCTTCGACGATCAACTCGGCACATTCATCATCCAGATGGATATGGCTATTCTACAATTTTAACTAATACTATTTTTCCTACCTCTTATTCTCAGGTTGCTAAACAAACTTGTTAGATAAATTCCATGCAGGAGGAATTTCAAGCACTTCAAGACAATCACTCTTGGGATATTGTTTCATGTCATGTAGGTGTTAAACCCATTGGTTGTAAATGAGTTTTTTCTCTTAAGCTCCGATTTGATAGTTCTCTTGACAGATACAAGGCAAAATTGGTAGCTCTTGGCAATCGACAAGAATATGACATTGATTATGAAGAGACCTTTGCACTTGTGGCTAAGATGACAATTGTCTTGCTTGTTTTATCTATTACTGCATCTAAAGGAATTTCAAGCACTTCAAGACAATCACCCTTGGGATATTGTTTCATGTCATGTAGGTGTTAAACCCATTGGTTGTAAATGGGTTTTTTCTCTTAAGCTCCGATTTGATAGTTCTCTTGACAAATACAAGGCAAAATTGATAGCTCTTGACAATTGACAGGAATATGTGATTGATTATGAAGAGACCTTTGCACCTGTTGCTAAGATGACAATTGTCCGGCTTGTTCTATCTATTGCAGCATCTAAAGGTTGGTTCTAAGGGCAGATGGATGTTAAGAATGCATTTTTGCATAAGGACCTCAAGGAAAATATCAATATAACTCCTCTAGGCTTGTTATCTACACCCTCACATGACATTTGTAAGCTCAATTGGTTTTTATATGGTTTGAAACAGGCTCCACGGGCCTGGTTTGAAAAGTTTCACAATACTTTTTCTAGCTACTCTTTTATTCAAAGCCAATATGATTCTTCATTATTTCTTCGCAAGACTGAGAAGGGAATTGTTTTGTTATTATTCTATGTTGATGATATTGTCATCACAGGATCTGATACTCAATTGATGTCTCAGTTACGTGAACGTCTTCAGAGTTATTTTCATATGAAGGATTTGAGGTATTAAACTTATTTCTTAGGTCTTGAGGTTTACTCTTCTCCCACTGGTATGTTTCAGCATTAACATAACTAAAGAACTCATTGCTTTGGCTGGTCTCCAAGAGGGTCATCCTGTTGAGACTCCTTTGAAAGTGAATGTTAAATAACAACGAAATGATGATGAATTTCTATCTAATTCATCTTTGTATCGACAACTTGTTGGGAGATTCAATTATCTGACTATTACATCGTCTTCAGAGTTCTTTTCATATGAAGGATTTGAGGTATTAAACTTATTTCTTAGGTCTTGAGGTTTACTCTTCTCCCACTGGTATGTTTCAGCATTAACATAACTAAAGAACTCATTGCTTTGGCTGGTCTCCAAGAGGGTCATCCTGTTGAGACTCCTTTGAAAGTGAATGTTAAATAACAACGAAATGATGATGAATTTCTATTTAATTCATTTTTGTATCGACAACTTGTTGGGAGATTCAATTATCTGACTATTACATGTCCTGATATTTCATTTGTTGTGCAACAAGTTAGTTAATTTATGCAGACACCTACACATCTTCATTTAGCTACAGTTCGCAAATTTTTAGAAATTTGAAAGGGACTTCTCATCATGGTTTGTTCTTCTCTGTGGAATCACTTATTCGCATAACAACTTATAGTGATGTTGATTGGGTTGGTTGTTCTGATACACGTCGATCTATTACTAATTGGTGTATGTTTTTCGGCGACTCTTTAATTTCTTGGAAGAATAATAAACAATATCGAGTGTCCAATTCTTCTACTGAGTCTAGATATTGTGATATGTCCTCTGTTTGTTCTGAGATCATTTGGCTTCGGGGATTGTTGGCTGAGCTTGGTTTTGCCTCAACTTGAGTCTACTCCTCTTTATACAAATAATACTGGTGCTATCTAGATTACTGTTAATCTTGTCTTACATGAGCGCGTAAAACACATTGAAGTGGATTATCTTTCTATTTGAGAAGCTCATAATAATGGTGTTATTTCTCTTCCTCACATCTCTTTCGATTTTCAAACGGTTGATATATTTACTAAGGCTCTTTCTTAGCAACGTCATCAATTTCTTGTTGGCAAATTGATGTTTTTTTATGAATTAGCATCAATTTGAGGTGGGATATCAATCAAGAATAATAGAAAATAGATAGCTAATTAGGAGTTTCCTATAATTAGGAGCTTCCTTATTTAAATTGTTTTCAATTTTTCTCTCCCGATTTACCTCTCTTGTTAATTGTACATAATTAGATTACCTAAAATAGATTGTACAGATTGTTCCTATAATTAGGAGCTTCCTTATTTAAATTATTTAAATTGTTTTCAATTTTTCTCTCCTGATTTACCTCTCTTGTTAATTGTACATAATTAGGTTACCTAAAATAGATTGTACAGATTGTTAATTATGGAAAATGAAAGCAAAGGAAAAAGGCATTCAACCAATTTATTCAAAAGATTGTCACAACTAAGATGATTTTGTTCTATGGATCTAAGTGTTTGGCAATAATTAAGTCATCTTTTATTGCAAATGTTGAGGAATGTTTATATTAAAGGGATTTTAACATTAGCTTCTATTAAAGATAAGAAAGTGGAAACTAGATGTAGATTTTTTGAGTAATACGATATAAAATGCACTTCCATGTCTGGTGGACTAGAAAGGAAATGGTGGATCAAAGTTGATAGGATTATCAATTGTGCAAAAGAAGAAATCACAAATTGTGTTTAGAATCTCATATAACACTCAAAAAGAATGAATAGAAATGGGTTCTCTTTTTTTTTCCCCTTGTTTTTTTTTTTTAATAAACAAGCTTTTGATCATAATTTGAGAATGGAGTACTACCCCTGAAATGTAGCGCTGGAGAAGAAAATGAAGAAATTTAACCCTCGAGAGCAAAATGAAGGAAGATTCTATTTCCTTTAATTTGATAAAATTATTTTGGGTTTTCTCCGCAGATTCTTAAACAGGATCAAGCAAGTTGCACATGCATAAGCAATGTTGAGAACTCATGAATCAGGAATCTTAACATTCTCTTCCTCAATAAATGTTTCATGGCCTCTTACTTTCAGAAGGATACACATTCTATTATGGTTTGTTTTGTGGCAGTTTATTGGAAATAATTCCTCAAGCATCAGAGAGCGAAATTTGTAAATTTGTATGATCGAATTAGATTTGCAATATCTAATTTTGTGATGTAATTTTCACATTTAGCCACAGTTCTTGATTGATTTGTGTTATACAGTATCGATCAGTCAAGGATTTGCATTGCAATATTACAATTCAGAACATTTATGTATTTATTTTAACTCGCACACACTTCTCTATGTGCTATAAGCTGTTGTCTGCACAAATATTATTGATTATCGATTAGCTTCTAAAGTATGAGTTTTTGTCTTGCTAAATTAGCAAAATTAAGACTCATAACATTATTATAATCATCATTATTCTTTATCTGATTTTAATATCATTGTTGATTAGAATTTTTGTTCTTATTGGTATTTTATTGATAGAGCATTGACTTACATACCACACAATTATTATATATTACATATCTAACATTTAGACTTTCATATTTACTTACATGCCGCACAAATCTTTGACATTATATTAAAAATAACACTATTACTAGCTTTTTAAAAGTGAAATACATCTTTCTATTTTTATATTTTACCATTTGTATGTAAATTTTCTTTTATTGATTTTGGGTATTGTGGTGGTGGCAGCGAATGATAGGTGGGGTACAATTGCTCCTGGTTTTCAAAAAAACGGCTATTTACATGCATACCACGCAATTCATTTTTATTTACATATCTAACACCTAAACTTTGTTTTTTTACATTTATACCACCCAAATGCACCATATCATGCATAGGAAAAGTTTTATATATGTAAAAATTGAAGTTTAGATATGTATGTAAATCTTCCTTCAAAAAATTGCTCAGTTCTCACTCTTTCAGAAAATGGTGAATATGAAAGTCGTACTGTATTTCTACTTGGTATTCCAATCTTTGTTTGCTCGGTAATTTTGTTTCAGTGCTGCTTGTTTGCTGCAAAGTCAGTGCAGAATATACAGAATGTATATGAAAGTGTGAGTGGGGATTTTGTTTCAGCATCGTTCAGAACTGTATTCCTATTTGGTATCCTAATTCTTTCTCAGGTTACACTGCTGGTTAATTTATTTTAATCCAAAAGCTTAAGACTTGAAAATGAGGGTTAATCATTTGCCATCTAAATGTTAGCATTAGTTTTATTTATTTGATGTGTGATTAATTCAATATCCCCATAAGCCTTGACAGATTATTTTATGCGTGGTCACTTCATATCTGCTCTGGCTCCCTAATATGTTCTGTTTTGCATGTATCAGATAATATGTGAAATGAATATATTTGTGATAGGGTTGTTGTAGCCCCAATGGCGAACAAGAATAGAAAGAGTTGTTATATGGGTTGGTCACATTAAACGTTGACCATCTAATGTTTCAATTAAGAGAATAGATGCTTTAGATTATGACTTATGTGGCATACCTAAAAAAATTTGGGCATATTGTAACTGCTGGTTAATTTATTTTAATCCAAAAGCTTAAGACTTGAAAATGAGGGTTAATCATTTGCCATCTTAATGTTAGCATTAGTTTTATTTATTTGATGTGTGATTAATTCAATATCCCCATAAGCCTTGACAGATTATCTTATGCGTGGTCACTTCATATCTGCTCTGGCTCCCTAGTTGAAACATTTTAAACCTCTAATATGTTCTGTTTTGCATGAATCAGATAATATGTGAAATGAATATATTTGTGAGAGGGTTGTTGTAGCTCCAATGGCGAACAAGAATAGAAAGAGTTGTTAGATGGTTTGGTCATATTAAAGGTTGACCATCTAATGTTTCAATTAAGAGAATAGATGTTTTAGATTCTAACTTATGCGGCAGACATAAAAAGACTAGGGCATATTGTATAAAAAAAATGATCTTAATTTATTAGAATTAAATGAAAATATGACACTTAATAGGAGCAATGGAGAAAAAAGGTTTCATGTAGCTGACCCACTTAGTGGGATTAAGGTTAACTGTTGTTCTATTATGTCATATTATGTCATGTTTTGCATGAATTATTAATTTTTCAGATCTAGAATGTTACTTATAAGTGTGGGTTAGATGTTTGGCGTTTCAATGCTAACATAATTTGTAACTTTTTGATATAACATTAACTCAAAGCTCTCTTGTGTCTAAGATACATGAATATGATCGAAAATAGATGTGATTAGTTCAGACTTGTGCAATAAGAAATAAATACATATTTTAAGTAAGTTGAAAAAAATTAATGTCAAAAACTTAAGAAAGAAATATAATGGCTGAAGATTACACAAAAATTGAACTAGTAATATTCTAAATTATCTATTTCACCCAAACTCAAACTTCACTTCTCATGGAACTTGTCATCGATATACAAAAACTAATTCACAGAATGAAGTTTTGAAGAGTTCAAGAAATTTAATATTTTGTGTTCATGACTCATCAGGTATAACTCGAAGCCCTTAGCTTAGCTCATAGTCCCAGAATGTGAATCTATAAATATGACTTCCTTTCTTTTCAAACTCTCTGAACACAAAAACTAAAAAGAGGTATTTGCATACAAACCCAACCAACTTGTATATATTTACATATGTAACATTAAATCTTTTTTTTTTTTTATTTATACCACTCAAATCGTCCACATCACACCAAAATAGATAAGTTGCACCGTATAGATATGTAAATACATAAAGACTTGAGTGGTATATATGTAAATCTTTCAAACTTATCATTAAAATGCTTTTCATGGAACTTGTCATCGATATACAAAAACTAATTCACAGAACGAAGTTTTGAATACGTTCAATAAATTTAATATTTTGTGTTCATGACTCATTAGGTATAACTCCAAGCCCTTAGCTTAGCTCATAGTCCCAGAACGTGAATCTATAAATATGACTTCCTTTCTTTTCAAACTCCCTTAACACAAAAACTTAAGAGGTATTTGCATACAAACCCTCTTAACTTGTATATATTTACATATCTAACATTAAATCTTTATTTTTTTATTTATACCACTCAAATCGTCCACATCACATCAAAGTAGATAAGGTGCACCGTATAGATATGTAAATACATAAAGACCTGAGTGGTATGTATGTAAATCTTTCAAACTTATCATTAAAATAGCTTGATGAATATATTCACGTATAAGAAAATGGTGAAAAATAGAAACAAAAACTGTGAACTGCTCAACTTCATATACAAACACATACCTTTCCATCCATCCCTCCATCCCTCCATCTAGCAGCGGCGCCTGCACTTCCAAAACGAGCTCATTGTCCTCGCAATCCTCGCCGGCCTTGATTTCGCCAAAGGCTTGCGCTCCTGTGAAGCCTCCTTATCTCCAACACACTCTCTCGAAGGCGACGATTCTCGCCGTCGCTGCTCTCTGAAGAGCTTCAGGAGCCTCTGCGCTTTCTCCTTTAAGGGGTTTCGCTCGATCGAGGCAGGAGAGGTTCAAGAATAGTGCGGTGGCTGACTCGCGGGTTGTGGGGTTGGACATCATCTTTTCTAGCATTGGAATCACGCCGGCGGAGAGAATCGTGTCTTTATTCCTGGAAGACGAGCACCCAAAATAAACAGAAAGTGAGGAAAAAATATTACATCTGGCTGTGGATGAACTATGCATTACGAGTCTAATAGTGGGGCTAATAATGGGGCGTCACGTGTCAAGTGAGTCCCATCATTTTTAATACTTCAGTATATTACGGTGGGGCCCATTTGACATGGCTCCCCATTATTAGATTCAAGACTTAAATGTAATATTTTCTCAAAAGTTAAGTGGACGAGACGTGATTTCATTGGCTACGCACGTTACTTCTACGTGCGTGGTACTGATGTAATATTTTTTTCTCTTGTGTGGGTGATAATTCAATGTTGCTGTTAACAGGGAGACCATGGGCAAATTGATTGTTTGATTTGAGTTTATGCAATAATATCTAGGGTCATGTGGCATAATAGTGCAACGTGTAACATAAAATAAAGCAAATGGAATTCTCATTTCATTATCACTTGAATCTTACATATTATATAAAGAAATATTATCATTTTAATGTGTTCCTATCGCTCTTATAGAACGCGATACACGTTCTGCATTTTGGTTTATCATAATATAGAACGCCCCTCTTTGCTTCGGAAAAAAATTGCGTACATAAGACGTACGCAGAGCTGCGTATGTCTGTAACCTGCAAACAAGTTACAATGAGAATTTCAGGAGGTTATAACTGCGTTATACCCCCTGTAACCTCACTGTAACCTACCTATACCTTTGAGTAAGCTCTACGTGTAACATAAAATAAAGCAAATGGAATTCTCATGTCATTTGTCATTATCACTCGAATCTTACATATTATATGAAGAAATATTATCATTTTAATGTGTTCCTATCGCTCTTATAGAACGCGATACACGTTCTGCATTTTGGTTTATCATAATATAGAACGACCCTCTTTGCTTCCTCTTCTGCTTCCGTCTCCAAGCCCTACCTCTCGAGCTCTCATATGTGCACGAAGGTTAGGGATCCCAAGCGAGGTTTCTTCTTCTCATTTTTTTTATTTTTGATGTGTCTGCTCTGATCTCTGTGATATCTTCAATCTCACCCTGATTTTGGTTGGTTGGTTTTGCCAATTTTTTTATTTCTTTAGGGATGGTCTGTGATCTTCCCTATTACATATATGAGTAACGAAGCAAGAGCCTATGTGTTGGCATTTCGGTTTCTTTGGGGAAATAACAACCATCAACCTATGTCTTTTTTTTTTTTTTCTTTTTTTGATTCTCTGAGGGATTTTGGTTTCTCTGCACCTTGGTATTTCGATTTTTTCAGATTCTCTGAGGGATTTTGGTTTCTCTGCACCTTGGTATTTCAATTTTTTCAGATTCTATTTTGATGATAGAGTTTAGGATTTTTGGTTGGCATCACAGCTTTTTTATGTGGGGATTTCATGTGGGGGAGAATTTGGCATATATTGTGTACGATTTTGACATTGAGGTTTATCACTATGATGAGTTTGATACGATGCCCTAAGTGGCATTTCAGTTTATGTGGGGATTTGAGGAAAGAGGAAAGATGGGCATGTCGGTTGATGTTGGCCTATTGGCTTTTTGTTAAATTATGCTAACCATCAAACAATGGCTGAATTCTTTATGTAGAAGTTGAAATTTAGATAAGTAATGCATAATAATTTATGCTTGAAAAAACGCCTGATATGGTAGTTATCATTTCGGTATGGTTTGATAT